GCATCTGGGGTCAGATCCACCCTAGCACGCCTCATGTCCAACATTGGAGGTCCTAAACAACGGAGACGAGCGCTGCTGTCGTCAGTGGTTACATCAGTGGTCACATATGCCATTTCCATTTGGGCTGACTTACTCCAGCTGCAAGAAGCTCGCCGTAAAATTGCACCTGTCTATCGGCTGAGTGCTCTCACAGTTGCCAGTGCGTATCGGACGGGATCTGAGGATGCAGTGTGCGTCATAGAGCTATTAGCTGAGGAGCGAAGATCTCTATACCAGCGGAAGAAATCAAAAGCGCTGCGTCCCGAAGAACTGGAAATCCAAGAGAGATGAAAGAGCTTGAGCCGATGGCAGCAGAAGTGGACAGATTCGACCAAGGGGAGATGGACCCATCGTCTGATCCCGCATGTGGCTGTCTGGGTAAGTCGAGATCATGGAGAGATAAACTATTATCTTTCTCAAATGCTTTCAGGACACGTGTGCTTCCGGGCATATCTTCATAAATTCAAACATGAAGATTCCCCGACATGTCCCACCTGCGCAGAAGTGGACGAGAACGCGGAGCACGTATTCTTCACATGCCCCCGTTTCAGTGACATCCGGGATACTTGGGAGACTGAACTTGGAAGGAAAGTCTCGCCCTAAAATGTAGTAGAAGCAATGCTGTCATCAGAGACAGCCTGGGACGCAACGAGCAACTTCGCGGCGGAAGTCATAAAGGAGCTCAGAAACGAGGAACGCAAGTGCAAGGTTGCAGTATAGGTGAGAAATCTATTTGGAACCTCCTAGTCACACACAATATCTTAGCAGGTTAGAGGGACGTACATTGGATGGAAATAGTGGAAGAGCAAGCAGCTGAGAACCCCCCTCGCGAAGTAATACTTCACGGTGGTGCCGCGAGAGAAATGGGAACGGACGATTAGAGGTAAAAAGAGGAAAACAGGGTTTTTACTGGGTAAAAATCCCAGATCTGGTTTTTAACATCACTTTACCAGAATCTTTTGAAGGTTTTCCCAAACCTCTATAAAAAAAAAACACACACATGTACACTCAAACGCGCACACACATATACACACATATATACAGACACATATATACAGGTACACACACAGGCACACACTCCTCCTAGGAACTGCAAGACCTTGTCGCTGGTGGAGGAGCTTAACGGGACTTGTCCCGAACTAAGAAGCAGTTCAGAACCCCCAATGTCAAGGTGTTCACCGTGCTGATTTCTGCAAGGCGCCAGGGGTAGTTGGCGTCGCAAACGGTGGTCCCTGGGGCAACGGGTCCAACCCCAGGTGTATTCTGTGGCCTAGCTCCAGTAACCGGGGCTCTACTGAGGTGGTCCATTATTTCCCTAGGGTCTCGTGGGAACAAGATGGATCTCAATGAAAACAAAAAAAATCTGTGCGCGTGCTCGCACTCACACACACTCCCATGCACACACATCGCCGTATTCCGCATCGAGAAAAGATGTAATTTATCACAAAAGTAAAATTGTTTCTTGAATGTATATCGATTTCGAAAAAAGCTAGTGAACTGCTGATTAAATGTCTTCCAGTATTCCATGATTTGTGCGTTATATCAAGATTCATCGTTTCTAACAAAAAAAAAATTGAAATCGCATCGTTATGCACGGAGAAATGGTCTCGTTTACAAAAAAACGCTAATTTTCGACTTTTTTCCAAATGTTTTTTGGAAAAAACTGGAGAAACGCTGAGACGATCGTCTCCATAATCTAATCAGGTTCAAGTCACATGAAAATACAGCGATTAAAAAAAAAAGTCAAATCGCATCGTTTGTTCAGGAGGAATCGTGGCACAAAATTTTTGTCACAGACGTACGCACACACATACACACATCCACACATACAGACAAGTACCTGAAAAGGGTCAGAAGTGGTTCCAAAGGTCATGAAACGTGGAGAAATGCTTAAATTTCCACATTCGATTTTCGGGGTCATTATAATAACTTCCTCCCTTAGGGTCGGGAAGTTAAAAATGAAGACGTGAAGCAGGACAGCTTGGTCCAGGAATCGGAGCTAAGTGACGCAGCTACCATGAAGGAGAACATGTGGAACAGGCATGAACAGCTTATTGCTGACCTAGTGAGCTACATGAAGGAGAAGAGGAACATCAACGCTCAAGCCCGAGAGTTGGTGGACTCTATCAGCACCTCAGCTAAACGGCTGAGGCGACTGGGCGGACAGGCAGGGCAGACCGGCCCAATGCTGGTCACATCAGCATCTTTCCTTTTAGGTCGAACGCGGACGCTCTCTGAAGGTACTGCGACCTCGATGGACTCGGAGTTTGAGGATGAGAGCTTAGCTCTCTCTGACAACAGCAAGGCTTCCAGGATGAAGAGGAAGTTCCGAGAATCACCACCGACGGACACCAAGGACCCCAAGAAGAAGAAGAAAGATGAGGTGAAGGTCGCTCATGCCCAGAGCAAAAAGGAGAATCTACCTGCAAAGTCTTCGAACTGGGAGCAGGTCAAGACCAAAAAGAAGAGGCAGCTGCAGCCGCCAGAAAAGCCTCAGAAGAAGGAGGTGAAAAAGAAGAAACAGAGGGTACTGGTAACAAGGCCAAATGCGCTAATCGTACGCATGAAGGACAAGCAGCAGTACTGGGAGGTACTAAAACGAGTGAAGCAGCAGATACCTTCCGAACAGGCTCCTGACTGCGTTGACAAAATCCGCAGAACGACCGCAGGAGATATGCTGATCATCCTCTCAAAGGATAAGGAGAACGAATCTGATAGCCTCCACAAGGCGATAGCCGAGCTCCTTGGAGACGAGGCTGATGTCCTCAGTAAAGGACCACAGGAGGAACTTGAGATCAAGGATCTCGACGAGCTGACGACGAAGGAAGAGGTGCTTGAAGCCCTGAGAATCACAGCCGGGGTAGATTGTCAAATTTCCCCGGATGCCATCAGGTCTTTGCGCAAGGCCTACGGAGGTACCCAGACTGCTTCAGTGACACTGGCCGCAGCCGTCGTGAAGAAAGTCCTAGGCGATTGAGGCATGATCCGTATAGGATGGGTGAACTGCCGGATCAGACGGGTGGAGAGAGTGATCAAGTGCTTCAAGTGCTGGCACTATGGGCATCTCGCCATCAAATGTAGGAGTCAAGTGGACAGAGCAAAGCTCTGTACAAAATGTGGGGAAGATGGACACAAAGCTGCTGGCTGTGAAAAAGCAGCCCTTTGTGCCTTATGCACTGAGAGAGATCCATCGAAGGACTGTGCCCATATTGCTGGTAGCAGCAGATGCCCTGTCTTCAGGGAGGCACATCAGAAGGTGAATAAGAAACAGTAATGCGGATACTACAGCTCAACTTCAACCACTGCGAGGCCGTACACGATCTGCTCATGCAGACGGTGCGGGAGCTGAAGATCGATCTGGTGATCGTCTCGGAGCCATACAGACATTTGACCACGCAGCCCTGGGAGACGGATAAGAGTCGCAAGGCCGTAATCTGGTCTTGTGGGAAGTTTCCGTTTCAAAGCATTGCGACTACTGATGAAGCTGGCTTTGTGGGAGCTAAGCTGAATGGAATTTATTCCTACAGCTGTTATGCTCCACCAAGCCTCACCCTTGACGAATTCACGGACTTCCTGCATAGACTAACTGAGGACGCGAAGCAGCACTTCCCTATTGCAATCGCGGGGGACTTCAACGCCTGGGCAGTCGACTGGGGTAGCAACGAGACAAAAGCAAGGGAGCAAGCACTACTGGAGGCCATGTCTTCGCTGGACATTGTCCTGTTGAACAACGGTGATGGACCCACGTTCGAAAGAGGCGACAGGAGCTCAATAATAGACCTCACCTTCGTCAGTAGTAATCTCGCAAGGGAAAACTACTCCTGGAAGGTGATGGATATCTACACCGCTAGTGATCATCGAGCAATCTTTTGGGAGGTGTCCGCTGGTCGAAAAAACAGACCAATGCCTAGGAAGACAAACGAAATCGGCTGGAAGATGAGCACCTTCGATCCTAGCACATTCTCAGTGGCACTGGATGATTACCCCATACGGGGCAGCAGTGCTACGGAGAAAGCCGAGAATCTCATGAGAAGAGTTAGCGAGGCTTGTGATGCCTCAATGCCTTGAAAACGTAGTGGAGGCCGTCTGCCACCAGTGCACTGGTGGAATGATCATATTGGAGCTCTTCGAGAGGAGTGCGTTAAGGCTAAAGGTCGGCTCAGCGTGGTCGGAAAAAGCTGAACTCCGAAGAACTGGAGAAGAAATGGAAGGATGCTCGCCGAAAGCTCAACAAAGCTATCAAGGAGAGCAAAAAGAAAAGTTGGACTGGACTCCTTGACGAAGTCGAGAGTGACCCCTGCGGAAGACCGTACAAGGTGGTTATGATGCGGCTGAAAAGCAGGCCTATGCCATCGCCGACCTGTCCCGAGCTCTTGAAGGAGATTTTAGCGGTGCTTTTCCCGCGACAACCAGAATTTCAGCGTGCCAACACACGAGGAAAGACTTTGATGGTCCCAGCGATCATCGAGGAAGAGTTGATGGAGGCGTGTGACAGATTCGGGAATGCCAAGCCCCCGGGTCTTGACGGGATCCCAAACATCGCACTGAAAGCCGCTATCCATGCGTTGCCAGGCCTCTTCTTGGACGTTTTCAACGAGTGTCTCAGCGAGGGCATCTTCCCTGCAAAGTGGAAATAGCAGAGGCTAGTGTTGCTCCCGAAAGGGAAAAAACCACCGGACGAACCTTCATCCTACCGTTCCCTCTGCATGCTCGATACAGCTGGTAAGATCCTTGAACGCATCGTCCACAGAAGAATAGAAGCAGCTGTCGAACCAATGCAGGCCAACGACCAGTTCGGCTTCCGGAGAGGCCGTTCAACCCTTGAAGCGATCAATCTAGTTGTCGATACAGCTAGGTAGGCGATTTCAGGGGAGAGATGGCTTGGAGGCACAAAGAAGTACTGCCTGGTGGCAACACTGGACATCAGGAATGCCTTCAAATCAGCCCGATGGGACTGCATCATGGCGGCCCTTGCGAGATTTGGTGTACCTGAATATCTACGGAGGATGGTGGACGACTACTTCACCGAGAGGGTCCTCAAGTACGACACGGAGAGTGGCCCCAAAGAGTACAGAGTCACTGGAGGGGTACCTCAGGGCTCGGTGCTGGGTCCTCTTTTGTGGAACATTATGTACGACGGACTGCTGAAGCTGACACTGCCACGCGGTGTGCGGCTCGTGGCTTTTGCAGATGATGTGGCCGTAGTGATTGTAGGAAAATACCTGGAAGACATGAAGCTCACCTTCGGAAGGACTTTCGAGGTGATTCGCCGTTGGATGGACTCCGTCGGCCTGAGCCTGGCCGAGCATAAAACGGAGGCCGTGTTGATCACAAGCAGAAAGGTGTTGGAGACAATCACGCTGCAAGTCGGGGATTATGAGCTCACATCCCAGCCGTATATTCGTACTTGGGAGTGATGATTGATGCCCGACTCAGTTTTAAGCAGCAAGTGAAACACATCACAACTAAGGCGTCAGGGGTTCGAGCAGCTTTGTCTCGCCTCATGCCCAACATTGGAGGTCCCAAGCAGAGGAGACGAGCATTACTGTCATCGGTGATTACGTCAGTACTCACCTACGGCATTGCTGTATGGGCGGAGGCCCTTCAATTACAGCAGAATCAGCGCAAAGTAGGGCCTGTCTACCGACTCAGTGCCCTTAGAGTCGCCAGCGCATTTCGCACCGTGTCCAACGATGCCGTGTGTGTTATAACCGGAATGATGCCAATTGAAGTGCTAGCCGAGGAACGAAGATCCCCATTCCAGTAAAAAGGAGAGTCATTAAGTCCAACCGAGATTCAGGCTGAGGCCAGACGAAAGAGCATAGAACGATGGCAGTTACGATGGAGTACCTCACTGAAAGGTAGATGGACATATCGTCTTATCCCGCAGGTGAGTGCTTGGGTGAATCGTGAGTACGGAGAGACCAACTACTCCCTACTACTGTATTTGACACAGTTGCTTTCAGGACATGGGTGCTTCCGGGCTTACCTTCATAAATTCAAACATGAAGATTGCCCGGATTGCCCGACTTGCTTAGGTACCACGGAAGACGCAGAGCATGTATTTTTCATGTGTCCACGTTTGGAGTGGGAGAATGAACTTGGAGCATTGATCCTGCCCGAGAACTTAGTGGAAGCCATGCTGTCATCGAAAACAGCCTGGGACGCAACGAGTGACTTTGCGACGAAAGTCATAAAGGAGCTCCGCGAGGAAGAGCGCCGTCGAAAGAAAGCTGTATAGGAGGAAAAGCTACCGGAACCTTCTTCCCACGCCCAACACCTAAGTGAGGAAGGAGGACGTACGGTTAGTGATGTTAGTAGAGGAAGAGCAATAGCTGATGTTCTCCCCCGCGAAGTAATGCCTGACGGCCGTTCCGTGGGGAATATGGGGTAAGAGGAATTGAGGAAAGAGGGCTTTACTCAGTAAAAATCTGAGATCCGTTTTTTAACATCCTTTTAACGGAATCTTTTGAAGATTACCTTAAACCTCAAAAAAAAAAAAAAAAACATACGCGGGTGCACACACACACACAGGCGCACACACACACACACACACACACTTTATGCTCAAAATCATATTTGTGAAAAAATATGTATTTGAAATTCCCATTTGTTATGGCATTTTGAATCATTTCCGCACACAATGCAATAATCGAAAAAAATGACGTTTACCAATCTGCTGTTCCGAAGTAAAAATCAAAAGACCAGACGAGATCTGTTTATCTTTTCTTTTGCCCTCTCCTGAAGTCTTCTTACTGTCCTGGAATGAATAAAAAATATTCCTGAATGGTCAAAAATTATGTTCTTCATTTCATCCCTCCCGAGGTATTTCCATCCCCTTGCAAAAAACATAAAAACGATTTGAAGATTTACCAAATTTCAGAAACAGGGGGAGCTCATGATGAATATTAGGCAATTTTTAACAATGAGACAGGAACATAATTTACAGAGATTCCTGGGAGGGACTACTTTGATCTTCATTACATAAATAGTTTCCTTCAATACATCAATCATAATCGGTTCGTAAACCCTAAATCGGAAAGTTCAATTGGAAGTGTTTAGGTATATTTGAAAAAGATGAAATTGTTTTCAATTTTCGCCTAAGAAATCTTGCTTCCGGTAATAAGAACTCCACCCAATTCGCAGCCAAGCTCCGCCCATCGTTCTGTGGCTCAGGAATTGAAGCATAAGGGATACATGGCTCAGGCTCCCACTGAGGCCACCAATAGGGAACGTTCCTCACCATATTGAAACGTCGATGCCACCGAATGTAAATAATCGGTGAACGTTTTAGCAACCTGCAAAATGAATGAATAAAATTAGTACATAAAAAAAACAGAAGAGGAAGGGATTCGAACAAGATTGATTGCGATCATAACTTCAGAGAGTAAAGAGTTATATAAGCTCATAAGCTTATGGTAGTGGAGAAAAGTAGTGCAATAACACTTATTCTGTTGTCTGTATTTTTTAGATCGTTCTTGAATTGTATTTATCTATTTGATTTCTCTCATTTTTGTTTATCGTGATCCTTCATTTTGTTTTCCACTACTGGATATTTATCACAGCAATCTTTACTTGTTGCTCATGGTTTGCATACAACACTCTGGCTTTTTACAGTGGAATTATGAACTGTCCTGAACCCAGGGATTATGAGATTTTTGGCAACAATGTGTTTCATAATTGCATTTTTTATTCCATTTTATTGCCTTTTTCAGAGCGTGTTCCACCGTCATTTTTTAATGAATTCAGCTTGCAATTTATACTTTGAGTTTCATTATCAATATAACCAGAGTGTTAGTGCGTATTTTATCATGGGNTGTCGAGTCACGTTCACTTCATTGATAGAGTTCGGTGTATACATAATTTTTTATTGTCCTTCTAGTGCTGTTTGGTTCTAGATAAATCTTCAAACTTTCCCTACAGCGAACTCGTGAGAGTGCGACATACAGTTGTCCATGATTAAAAACATCCTTACGAAGATCAATACCAATTTTTTCGAACGTTTGTTCTTGTGATTTATTAATTGTCATAGCGAAAGCGATCTTTATTGGGAACTGCCGACGCTTAAACGTGAACGGGAAATCATTCTCAGAATATAAACTTATACGATGGATGAATGCGTTGTTCCCTTTGTGATCCCCGGTTAAAATCTCACAGCGTAAAACATTACGGCCGAGTTCGAGAACGAGTAATCTAGTGCCGTTGCATAATCCTTCATCAATGCTCATGTTTCTAATCAGCATAACGATACTATATTTCCGAAGCCTTAATTGATGGGGAGGTAGACCCGAAGGGGATAGAGTATTCAGATATTCAGTCAATATCGTTCCTGCATATTCACCGTTTTCTTTTTCTTCGATAGTATCTATACTTGTATAGTTACACTCAGTATTCTCATCCAACAGATCTACGACTCTCAAATTTATTTCGTCGACATCAACATTTCTTGCAGATAATATTGCACATTTCGCTGCTTCTTTGTATTTCCTATCCTTCAACAACTTTCCATAGATATCTTCAACAATGTCGTCATCTGGATTGTTCAAACAGCACTGAGGAATGCGCAAATTGTCCCGTGAATCATTCAACTTGCCATCTCCCACATCTAATAAAAATTTGGCGAATTCTTGCTCCCCTGGCAACACTCTCATATTTTCAGTTAATGATCGAGTATGAAAGTTATTCCACAACCTACTGTATTTGATAGACAGATTTACCGTTTCACTCCGCGAACCATGGACATTAACTGGTAAAAGTTGACGGAAATCACCACCAAGAATGAATATTTTCCCACCAAATGATTGATTATTATTCATAATATCTCGGAGTAATCGATCTGCAACATCTAATGCATAACGCGGAGCCATCGGCGCTTCGTCCCATATAAAAACATCAGTATTTTTCAAATTATTTGCTTTTTTCGATTGAACTGTAAATGTCGAAGTAGAATCTCCATAGAGAGGAACTGGTAAACCAAAGGTTTTGTGTACTGTTCTTCCTCCAGGGAGTAGAATTGCAGCGATACCTGTGAATGCCATGGTACTAACGTTTTTTCCTCTGCTTTTCACCAAATAGAATAACGTATTGTAGATGAAAGTCTTACCTGAACCACCAGGGCCGTCAATGTATATACAGTTCCTATCACTTCCATTATCAAGAGTGTTTAATACATCATCAACAATCAGCTTTTGAGTTGTATTCAGCTGTCCATATAGCTCCATCCCTAGATTGAGGTTATCTACCGAGAGCGTGTCCATGTCATTCTCTGTAATATTTTGCACAGGTTCCATACCCCGAAAATTTGAAATATCGTGGCCTTCAAGAGATAGTAAATGGGCAATGGCGCGGTACGCTTTTCTATTAGCAGCATCTGCGATCATATTTCGGGAATAATCTTCTGAAAGTTTTCCTTTAAATTCTTCCCACAATTGGTGCGGGTGAAGAGGATTACAATGAATCAAGATTCTTACAAAAAGACGTCGAAGCTGCACCGGCATCATCCATTGAGCTGCTTCATCGATGGCATTCCGCCATTCATTATCATCTTCAATGAGACCCAAAGATAAGCAAGCATCTGTAAAAGTTTGACATACCATGCCGTCCACCGTTCTCAAATTCTCGAAGCTCTTAGCGCCTTTCACATGTAGTAAGAGAAGCCTGAGATGGAACAATTCAGTTTTGCATGGATTCACCGAATACATACGTCCAATGGCATTGAACCAATTACCACGTGGCACCCACGTTTTCTTCTTCTGACCATTAGTCACTACATCTTTATATGTATAATGAGTCGGAATATCGGAATACGTATATTGGTGGGCTGCAGGATCTCTAGCATTCAATCTGAAATATTCAATCAGCGTTGATGTGCCGTTCATTGCTGTTCTGATCGAGTCTTCATTCATATCTTGAGGGAGGATCACCGTATGCTCATTTGGTAGATGAACAGCTAATCTGATAACAGGATGACTTCTCCCTTGCATTTTCTTATCACAAATATGCCAATATGCTTCATTGGGCCCGACATATCTAGCTTCAACATGATCTTGTATTTCATCTCGATTTATGCCTTCAGGCTCTTCATTCGGGTTATCAGCTGATGCGGTGGACACTCTGATTGAGGCGGCATCATGGCCCTTATAGATATACTTATAAAGATATTTGGGTGCATCAACACTTGCGACAACTTCCACATTGATGTGGCAGTCAAATATGGTAGATAAAAGGGGGCAATATGGTACAACCCATTGATTATCTACCATTCGTCCGCGAGGTAGCTGATATTGGCGTCCAGTATTTCTCCTGCAATATGTTGGATGACTACGAGCATCTAATTTCGTTTCTGATTGAAATGCCTTTGGAAAACTTTTCGAACACTTACCATCTCTGAAACACCAATCGCCACAAGGACCGTGTATCATGTGCTTCAGTACAATCTTGTGCAGATCGGGATATAAATCTGGATCAGGAATTTCAGCCGAGACAATCTTATTAATTGCTTCAGGATTCGATAGCTTAACTTTCAATGTTACCAATAAATGTACGTGCAGCAATCCTCGTTTCTGAGATTCAATAGTATACACATAAGACGTTACTTCCCCAAAAATATTTTTTTTGAAAATCAATTCAAATAAATGTTTCAATTTCATATTGAATACACGACTACAAATATCGGGCCTGTCTGACGTTTGAAAGTTTGCTCCAAGATTTTCTTTAATTTCAATCCAGTTAGGATTACATGTCATTGTGATGAAGAGATCAGGTTTC